CAGGTTGAGAACCACTGGGACAGAGAGTTAGAAACATCGATGAGGGAGAAACATTGATCAGCTGCCTCCTGCACTCCCCCTACTGGGGATGTGCCTGCACCCAGGTACATGCCCTTGACCAGAATCGAACCTGGGACCTTTGAGTCCGCAGGCCGACGCTCTATCCACTGAGCCAAACCGGTCAGGGTCCTGTGCAGGCTCTTGTGTGGACACAGGCTTTCAGCGATTCTGCGTAAATACCCAGGAGAGGGATCGCTGGATCCCATGGTAAGAGTATGTTCAGTTTTATGAGGGGCCTGGTCTTATTCTGCAGACAAAGCGGACTCCAGCGGTGTGGGGAGCGAGGCGTGAGAGCAGGCGTGGCGTGGCACTCGCCATGGGCAAACATGAACTTACTTCATAAAGGCGGTGGCCTCGTGTCTAGCAGCGCGGCGCAAGGCGCCAGACAGCCCGGCTTCGAACTCCTGATTCCTTGCGCGTCAGCTGTGCCTCCAGCAGGTCACCGGGTCGCTCTCTGCCCTCGTTCCCCTTCCGGGACAGCAGATACTCAGGGCCGACCGGCCTCAGGGAGTCGTAAGGGTTAAGTGTGGTAAGCTACATCCAGCCTCTTGGAGCACCACTAATGTCCAGTGGTGCTGGGACACAGGTGTGATGGCTCCCACCTTAGAGAGACAGTCACCTGAACAGAAGCTTCACAAGATCCCAGAGCGTGGAATCCCCAGCGCCAGGAGGCAGCGGGCAGAGCTGTTCTCCCAGGAATGATGTGTGTGGAGTCGCCACTTACTCCCTCCAATCCCGCTGCCCCCGAGCAGCCTCCCTCCGTGTCTGGGCTCAGCGGACATGTGCAGAACTTCAGCGTGCAGGTCACTGTAGACTCAGAACATCAGCGCCTGCGGCTCGCGGAGCCTGCGCTAAGGGTGCCTCTCCGAGGGGGGGCGCAGTCCTCGGTGAGACCAGGACCTGCAGGTCTGAAGCCACCTTGACGTCCGGCTGCAGGCAAAGCCCTAGGGGCACCCTCCCACTCTGGGGGCACCCTCCCACCCTGGGTGCACCCTTCCACCCTGGGTGCCTCTCCCGCCCTGGGGGCGCCCTCCTGCCCCTCTGTGCAGTTTAATGATTGAAGCTTTGTGAACCCATGAGCTCCATTTGCAGAGCTCTGAGGCGGCAAGCATTCCTGGAAATGCTCCCCGCAATTCACTATAAACAAAGGGGCAGCCAGGAGCACAACGCCCCCCACCCAGATCCTTGCACGCCCTGTTGTGTGCTCTTCACATCGCTGCGCATCCACCCACCCACAGGCTGCGGGCGTGTAGAGACCATTAGGTCCTGATAGTGTGGTTTTAGGAAGTGGCCCAGGAGCAGACTCCCAAAGCCGCCCTCCCCCGCCACCCAGCAAAGGAGCAGGTGAAAAGAGCCCTTGTCTGTGGGCCTGTTTGTGCTGGAGCCTCGGCCACGCCAGATGAGAGGGTGTTATCCTGCCGGGCAAGCATGGAGCCTGCGCTCAGACCTGATGAGAAACCCATGCTAGTAGCTTATTGATGCGAGTTCGCCAGGAAACCACAGATCGGCGAGCACGCACGCGGCCGGCCCAGGCCAGGCGCCGCCTTTGCCAGGCGGTCCCACCAGGAAAGCCGTGTTGGAACCGGGATTCCGGAGACACCAGCTCACATGCAGGACGAGGAGGGGGAGTCTAGTCTCCATGTGCCTGGCAGCTCCTCTCCTGACGCTGCCACTGGGTGTGCCCAAGGCCAATTCTCTAACCTGCGTTGCCCCAGGCGGGTCCGCAGAGCACATGGTCCAGGGGTCCAGGGCTGCTAACAGCCATCGAGGGAAGAGGAGGCCCGGGTCAGAGACGTCGGGTGGATGGTGAGCGGGACAGACGTCTTTCAGCAGAACTTCCCCCCGGGACTCTCCGGGAGGCAGGGACTCGGCTGTCTTCCCCAAGATTAGCCCGAGTTCCTCTCCAAGCCCCCACCCAGCCCACGCGGCCTTCCTGCGTCAGGTACCCCTGGCAGGCTGGACAGTTTAACTACAAACATAAAACAGGATTACGAAGAAACCCGTTGTGACGAAAGCAAATATTCCCCTGGTGCGAGGATTTTGAAATACTAGTATGTCAGCCCGGGCACATGTTCAAACGTGTGCCTCTTTTGTACGGGCTCTAATACCGACGACAGCTGTCTCACAGTCCTGTGGCCACAAATGATATCTCAAGACACAGGCAACCCCACCGCTGGCGAGTTCTGTATCGGTGAATTTATCCATCACCCCATGTCAGCACCCCGGCACTCCTGTCATCTGAGTGGCAAACATGCTCAGTCCCCTGACCCGCATGTCCCCGTTGGGGTGGAAGGAGGCAGGGCTCTGCTTTATGAACAAGTGTCCTTTACGAACAAGTGTTGTGGGCACCTTTATGCTTTTTGTTGGTGATTTCGCGGTGACGGTGTCATCCAGGGGCAACGCCAAAGGGCCGCCCAAGTTTCTAAGTGCAGGTCGGCGGTGGGCGCCTCAGGGAGAAGACAGGTGAGCGGACAGGGATCTCTCATGTGCGTCACCCTGCCGTGGGCCCTGAGTTCAGGGTTAATCAATCAGCTGTGCAGGCACACGGTGTCTTTCAATAGCAGTGCCCACAATACAAGGCTGTGCATTGATCGCCTGGTGACCTTGCTGTGCCCCAAGGCTGGCAAAGATGTCACCTGTGATTCTAGGTCAACCTGGAAGCAGAAGTTCAGTGCTTGCTAATTGAGTGTCCAGGCGACTGAGTAGATTCTACACAGTTGT